TGGCTGACCTCTACTTTACTCATCGTCTGCCGAGTATCAACCTGTCCTCCCTCCAGAAGGCGGTCCTGTTGGGTATGGGCCTCCAAAGACGTAAGGCCTCCCACCCCCATTGGAACGACGATGGAAGGTCTCTGCGCAGGTTCCGTCGACGACTTGGCTGAGAAGGAGTTTGGTAAGCGTTTGCGGCCTACGCAGCTGCTGGCCCTGTTCAATAAGGCAGTGTATAAGCTCGCTAATCAGCTGTTGAAGGGAATGATCGAGGATATTGAGAAGGACGAGCTGAGTCAGAAGGATGCCAAGAAGGTAGGTTGATCGTCTAGTGGGGCGGGGCCCTGGGAGGTAGAGTGGTGTGTGGCAGGATGGGCCTGTCGCTGAGACTGTTGAGGAGGAGGAGGAAGTAGTGGAGTTGCCGGAGAATACACTGGAAGAGGACCAAGCCCTGGCAGGGGAAGAAGTTGATAAGGAGCTGTTGGCTAAAAAGAGGGAGCTTTTACTAGACTCACTCATGACCTCACAGGGTGGTGGATCTTTTGAGAAGTAGTACCAAACGGTCGTGTTGGGGAATTAAAATGCAGCATTCCGCATTTACCTCGATGAATTTCCCGAGGGATGATGTTATTGCTACATGCATTGTCAACTCGCCACCATGACCATCTCACAGCGGTCCAATAATGATACGGTATAACATCATCATTGTCGACCATCGTTCGTTCGTATGAAACCCTTATCAATTCTGCTGCTGTCACTGCCGCCATCTGCTCCTAACTGCTCCTCTTCCTGCTCACATTGTCGAACCTAATAGGGTCCAGTAGTGCTCGGTATGGCCTCTGTGGACTACTACTCTGAACTTGTCGTCTTTGTGTAGTTTAGTGGTATTATAATATATGTGTTATAGGTACAACGTGTCGAACCTTGATGAGGAGAAGATTTCGAAGGGGGAGAAGGTTGGCAATAGAGTGTTGGTTGAGCGAGACTCTGCTGAGAAGAAGAAGCGTAAGAGGACCTCCCAAGGTGGTGGTAGTGGAAAGGGCGGTAAGAAGGCTCACAAATAAGAGGTATCACATCCTCAACGTCTATTTACCAGCAACGTTGTTTCTACCTGCTCTCATCTCTTGAGTTTATTTATTTGTTAATCATTGAAGCCATACCACACCTCCGTCACATCTGAAAGGATGATCATCGATCGCCATCAGACGTTGCATAGTCCATTCTCCACTGCCTGCCTGAGTGCATAAGAGATACCTTGAGGGCACGGAGGAGGTCCATGGTGAGCCTGTAAACTCACTACTCTATTACTCCCCGTGTAAATGACGGCTGATGATGAACCCGAAGGATATGACGATGGTGCCATTCAATGGGTTTGATACCTAGCTCACAATGAGCTGCAGATAGTCGATCGTCATTATTCCTCTCTTTTGTGCATTACCGTACTAACTGGTCAACAGAGCTCGGACGGGGGTACGACCGTGCTGAAAGGGATTTGGTGCAAGGGTGTCGGTAGCCTTCCCTCGTTGGTCTGTCTTATGCCTGCTGCTGCTGCTCTCACCACCAAGTCGGAGTCCCCTCCGGAAGCTTTGAGTGGCGATCAAGAGTCGACAGGACTGAGGCTCTCAGTGTCTGTGGTAGGTGTGTTGGTGTAGACTAGGCATAATCTCGAAACAGTCCCAGTGAGGGCCGCTATGAGTTGCGTTCTTCAGGAAAGCATCGTCGGATTGATGTCTTCCCGCGCCACTTTTCTGGAGCTCGATCTCAGCTCCATTGGGAAGGAGGAGCAGTCCCTCGTTGTTCGATCAGAGGCTCCAGGGAAGGCGGAAGAGAGGCCCTCGAGGCTGGTGGGAGGATTGGTATTATCAGAATATAGTAGGGTATTGGTCAGTCGGGGTGGACCTTCAACCAGCAACAGGCTGGCGATGGAGATGAGGGGCCTAAGTCGCAATGGGTGGTCAACGTGAGCATGGACGACACCTTTCACACGAAAGTGAGAGGCAGTCTAGTCTATCAAGTTTCACTTGTGCTTATCATAGATATGCCTCGGCATGCTTCACCTGCGCCTGCTCGATGCGGACCGAGATGGGACTGTTGTTGCTAGTGGGCAGGTTCCTCTACGTAGCCTTTTGCATGAGACTTGCGCGTTGGAAGGTCACTATCCGTAGGGCCTCGATGTTGTTGAGGTTACTACGGCTTCTGGTTGTCATTTAGACTCATTCTAGCTGCTGAGTACCTCGACAAGGCCTCAGAGGAGGAGGAGGGCCCCGGGGCTGAACCAAGTAAGTGTAGTTATCATTGGCGCCAACCACTAGTGGTCCCCAAGGTATGGCTCGCTGCATATTAGCTTGAGAACAATCTTGGCAAGGTTTGCCTGATAACTTGTCGACTAGTATGCCGTCTTGATTGATCAGATTCATGTAGGGACCCAGCAGAACTCCAAGTAGAGCAAGCTCCGACCTTAGACGCCCACGTGAGGATAGGAACGGATAATCTCATTGGTGATAAGAAGAGCCCCTCTGGAGGAACACCTTTTCCTCTAGGAGACGTGGAGGACTTCCCCGAGGATTGGCGAGTCGTAACACTGCACGTCCATGGCATGTTAGTATTCCGACAGTGACGATGCTGCTACTGATCCCCAGGTACAACCTACCCAAGCCTCTCCTTGAACTTAGTGGTGGTGACCAAGTGGTAGAGGAGGCCTCCTGCTATGTGGATGGATCCTATCCATTAGAATATGCTGTGAGGGGTTTGCTGATCACTGAGGCGCTCGATCGCCTCGCTCTCTAGGTCAACCTGAGGGGTATGCAGTTGAGGAGCGGCAAGCTGTATAGGTGGGCTGTCCCTGCTGCTGGGGATGACCATGCAGAGGATGGCGGGGAAGTAGGGACTATGTGAAGCGTTGATAGGCATATGATGTTAGGAAGCACTGGCCTATGGTGTAGCAGACGTTCGTGTGGGCGCCGATGAATTTAGGAATAAGATGGAGTAACAGGGTCCCGAACATGGCCTGCTGATTGGACCTAGCTGATCTCGCAGAGCCCTT